AACTGGTAACAAAATATGTTAGAAATTAGAATTAAATGATTAAATTTAAGCCTAATTGTCAAAAACAAGTTCTCAAGAAATTAAATCCTTTTATCTTCTACGACCACTATAGAACCGTTCAGTTCCCTGTAATTCATTTCCAAAATGCAAAAACGCGTTTCAGACCGCTGCTTTTGCTTCTAAGCATTGAAAACAAACAAAACAAAATTAAATTTAAGCATTCAATTGACAAAAAAAGGAACCAGACACTGAATGTAAGAATTACATGCTTTATAAAAATTTCCACCTTCTCTTTTTTTACTTCAGGATATACAGGTAAAACAACAAAAGCGAAATTTCCTGTCTGATCTTTTAATACATAAAAATGTTCAAAAAGAAATCAATAAGACTCTTATCATCAATTATTTTTCTAATCCCCACGATACGAAGGGTTTTTTCGATTTTTAGAGAAAAACCCCTAGAAAACCAGAAGCCGATAATATTTACTCTGAAATTTTAATGGTTAATGACAGTTTCCAGCAATTTTGTCAGTTTATAAATAAATTAGAACAAAGCCAATACAGTTGACAATTGTTACTTGTAAAGTACAATAAAAGTAAAAAAAATGACAGAGCAGATAAAATCACGAGTTCCACTAAATGCATTACGCACAAAATTGACAAAGGTTATCGATGAGACTGCTGTGCTTAGTTTTCGCGAAAGAGCCATAACAGAAAATCTGCGCCCATAACGACGTTTCGCAGTATCAAACAGTTATTAACCAACAACTTCTATCCTTTTTCCCGCCAAAATCTATCTTTAAAACTGCATTTTTTCCCTTATGGCAAAATTCCATTGTTATCAGATGTCTGCACAAATTTACCGCATTTTCAACCGATATTGACAGCATTTCGACCAATTCCTTTATGTCTGTATATATCTGTATATAATGAGGAAGGAAATTTTCTACATATCAATCAATTTTGCAAACATTTCTTTTCCAACTATCAATTTCGCATAAAATAATTGCTCAATATTTGTTCTATAGGCAATAGCAAATGTAAACACCTTGCAAAACGCGATTACAAAGAAGCTTTAATATAACTTTGAATTTAGTTCTAATACTACAAAACGTCAAATAGCTCGATTATTTCATGTCCAGTAACTGGAAAACAAATCGCTAAGGTAATTGAAAACAAGGCCTTTCTCTTCCGAACTTCCCCTTTATCGAAACCTAAATCTACCACTGGAGGGTCAGCCCGGAACTTCGGAATTTTCCTCAAAATCTTTGTGCTTTTTTAGACTTTGGGCTTCCTTTCACTTGACTCATCTTGAACCGCCTTGTGCAGTGAGAAGAATAAGATATCTGACGATTTCAAATGCAGACGACGGCACACCTTTTAGAGGAAACCCTACATATTGTTTTCTTTGCAAAACAAAGACTGTGCCAAAAATATTGGTCAAAGGTATACAAACTGATCTTCAAACTCCAGAAAAGTCTACGTTCAATGAATGAAGTAGTACGTAGATGAAGATCATTAAGGTTATATCAATCATTAATAGCAGCAAGCTAACTTGAAATACTTGCTTTACCTGATGAAAACCTCAAAAATTTTGTCGGTATTTGTGAACAGTCAATCAAAGAAGATAAGAAAACGCATGTTACAAAATTCGTAAAGAATCAGCGGTGGTGGAGAGGTTGGGGCTGGCTGGGAGATTCTGAAGGGCTGCAGCCGAAGGGCATGACGTACGTAGAGTTAGAAAAAGGCGAAAACGGGGCGCCAGGGAATTCATTAAGAAGAGAGGAACCTTCTTTGCTAATGGCTTCTGATTATTCGAGCTCATTTGGGCTACTAAGGGTAGTGGCATCTGTGTTAAGTTTTTAAAGTTAAAAATGTAAATTAAATTATTCAGAAGTATAACGGAGAGGTCTCCAATATTTCCCTAATTTGCAATAATACGAAAGGCGATGGTTATATTAGTGCAAAAGAACTTGTAGCTGCAGAATACCTATTGGTCAGATAAGGGCAGCAGCGAATATATTCTAAACGGACTGAAGCCATAACGGAGGTAACAAAGAATAAATTAGAAAACCAATGAGGTTTTTACCTGGACAACGATATAATTAGATGTGCAAGCCCTTACAGAGATTTCAATATGTCAAAACATATAAATTATTCAATTCTGATAAGACTTCAAGAAGGATAAATACGTCTAATTTTTAACAATGTTCATCTTAAAACTATGTGTAAGGGGTTATAGATTGTTGCAGTGCAACGAAAGGAAAAGGAAGGATTACTGAAATAATGAGACAATGATAAGATGCAATCAATTGCACAGAGGTAATGATTTTGCTAATTAGCATGGTTGCCCTGTACAGTAAAAGGAGTACATCTAATAAGCACATGCGTGCAAAAAAGAGTATCAAGCTGCGCCATCTTGAGTTCACTCGGAAAGAAACCTCGTAAAATGAGTATGCCAACTGAAAAGGCGCCCTTACTGAAAACGCTTTGAAAACTTGAGTATCTTTAGGCAGACCAAAAAAAAGTCTAGAAAAATGAAAATTATAAGTGGAATTACTGTAGTAGATTAGAACTCCTCTGACTTCAAGTATCGCGCTTATGAATTGTACTCAATATCCGTTGTAGCACGGACAGACAACGACTGAAGCTACACTTTACCGTCAGAAGGTTAGCAATAAGTACACAAATAAGCCTAAAATCATCTTAGCTAAATCAAGTAAAATTGAAAACCCATGAACGAAATGTAGACGTACAATGACGACTAAAAAAAATCATTTTTGCGGGCGACGATGTTAAACCGCAGTACCACCAGAAGTCGCCCTTAATAGCGAGCCAACAGAATCAGAACAGTGCTGCCGTTTATTGTGCCAATTTTTCAATACTTTTTAATCGAGTTTCTTGATTGTCTTCATAACCGAAAGCTGTAGGAACTCTGGTTTGTTAGAATTTCAAAATCCCGGTTTTCTATGCAGGGTTTTTGATGATGACAGATATAGTGGCATTTGCAAGGCTGTGAAACCAGAGTCAGGTAATGCGAACCAGGAACGCATGAGAAAACCACCCTGAGTAGACAGTTCTTGAGCTTGTTTTTAAGGCCGTGCTTTTGGATTTATGGAACTTGCTTATGGTACGAATTATCATTAAAGTTATGAGCGCAGAAAAAGCCAAAAAGTTCAAACTTTTCACTTTTGGTTGCATACTGTAATAACTATGCATCTGAAGCGATCCCACATTTTGCAACAAGCAAAGGATTACAGGTCGCAGCCGTCAGAGAAACTGAGGAAGATCTCGCAACTGAATTTTGAGCATTTATGTAAGTGCGCGGTATGAATATGAGGAGAGCAAGTAAGAATAGGAGATTTTTTAAAAGATTTTAGTTTTTTTTTTTTTGTTGCTTTCTCAGCCTTGTATTACCCGAAAAATTGGCAAGTCGAGAAAGTAGATAGAATTTTTCATGCAGTTTTTATCAGTTGATTTTTAGAATACTTGGTTGAACCCATTAATCTTTTTTCCACGTATTATTTGACTGATGTGTCTATCATTCTTCTCCTTAACGCTTGCTGTCCGTATTGCTGAATCTGCAGTTGCTAACAAGTCGTTATAAAGCGGGAAATATCAGGCAATGTCTGGTTGTAAACTTTTTCTGAGTTACACTGAAACAATTGATGGCTTCACAAATTTACAAAATGCATGAAAGTTTGTAGCTTTGAAAAAATTTTTTTTTGCATATATTAGCAAGCTTGTAAAAATCTGCTCTGTGAAAGGCCGGACAGTTGGTCAAATTTTAAAACTTAAAATAATTAGTGGAGAGATGTTCTGTTTGCTCTAGGTATTACTTACTTCCTCAAGATAAAAACTCACCTGAGAGAGGAACTAGAGGAAGCCAGACTTTTCCCGTACGGAGTGGTCCACAAAAATATTGTTGCATATTATATTAGTAATCCATTACAGTTATTGAGTTTTGTGCTAATAAAGTGAAGTCCAGTCAAACCCACTTTTCCGTTCTTCATTTCGTCACATCTTTCGGATAAAATCTTGCTAATCTACGCCATCAACCAATGCTTAGAAATTTGCATACCCATTTAAAGCATAAAAGATCTTTCGCCAAAAGATATGCAGCAGACAAAATGCTTCCGGACATAATAACCCTTGCTTTTGCAAAAAGCACTGCCAGGAAGCTCAAACCAATTACTTACAGTAACTATACAAGAAATTCACAAAAACGTCCAAGTGGGGAAATTCCAATTTCCTTACAAAAATGACAACCTGCCAACCTTGAAATGAACTGTTCACAGTGCAGAATTCACGAAAAAAATGGAAAAAATTTTTGTTTTTTTTTTTTTTTTTACCGAGGAAGAAATCAGTGGACATGGAGAAGCTAATTTAGAATATGGTGACAGAGGAGCGCAAAAGAAAGTAACCACAAATGCCTTCCTTCTAAATCATTCTTTGGTCGTGCTTCGCACTTTATCAAATAAAAATTAATTAGCAATACAGTTTTTTTTGTGAATATGCAAAACACAAACCATCAATACGCCTGTGATCGGTAGTCATATTCGCGCTCCACTACTTGGCAACGAGCACGGCCAAGAAATAAAGTAATATGCACAACGAATTAGTGGAGAACTAAAGACCACCTTGTGAACATTAAGTGCTCAAAAAACCCCTCAGGCTAGAAATAACAAATCGATCACAGCATACATCCGTCCATTTATGCTAAAGAAACTTCAGATTCCCCTGCAGGTAAAACACCTTTTATTCTTCAATCCTGCTTTAACAGAAAATTTTTAAATTGCGTTAATATGGTGGATCACATTGCCTTTCCCACGATGATGGTCTTACCATAAAATTTGGGTAAAGCCAAAGGCATCTGCAGGGGAATTCAACTAATGAAGAAAATGAGGTGATCACTGGATCAACGCTCACAGGGCAGTCGTACGCAAGTAAAAAAACTTATAAAAAGTTTGAGATCTTTTCAAAGAACCCGTAATGTAAAATTTAACTGTTATCGGAAGATGACGATGAGCTTGAAGTGGAGGAACTTGAATCTGAACTTGATGATGAGTCAGATGAGTCAGAGTCAATATCTGTATCTGAATCATCTTCTCGAACTTTCAGTTCTCTGGAAGTTGCTTCCTCCTGTTTTTCTTCATCCTCCTTCTCTGGCGCATCCTTTTCTACCACATCTTCTGAAGTTTTGAAGCGCTCCTTCCACTTCCGAGCAGCTTCTAATAGTTTCAAGCTACCTTTAGAGGCTGCAACTGTTTTTAGTTAATAAAGGCTTCAAAATGACTGGGAAAAAAATCTAAAAGGTTGCAAAAGAAATAAGGGTCAAAATTTAAAACTGTTAAAAAAGAGCCAAAATCTAGTCCACGAGCTGCAAAAAGACGATATACTGGAAAAGTTATTTGTAACTTCACCTTGGTCATCTGGGAAGATGTAGTCAAAGTACTCTTCCCATCCTGCACTAACACCATCATCTGTTTCCAATTGTCGACGCTTTTTAACTTTTTTTGGCATCATTTGCAACACCTACAGAAAAAATCCAAAATAACTTTTATCCCTAAATTTACGCCATCAGTTCATAAACACTAATAAATTCCTTTACAAATACAAATGGAATAAACTCCCTTACTTTTTTATAAGAATCCTCATCACCATTTTTGCTTTCAAACTGCAACCAAGCTTCTAAAAGCATCAATCTTTCTTCCTTAGCGTTGTTAGTAAGTGCTAATTTCGCTTTTTCAAACACCTTCCTTGCCGATTCTAAGTTCCCACATCTTATTTCGAACTCCGCCATACTAATCCAAACCTAGAGCAATGGAAAAAATGACAATTTGCACAACACCTACTATAACAAATAGTCTGCAAGATAGCAACAAAAACGAAGAGTATACTAAGAGCATAATAAATTAAGGAACCTTTATATGGTTAGTACGCTCCAATAAACTCTCGTACAACTGGCGAGCATTTGCATACTCTTCCTGATTCACTTCAAAATCAATATAAGCTTTCCATAAAACCTAAGAAGTGTTGCTAAAGCTACAAAAGCCAATAAAATTCAAAAGCTTCTCTGAAAACTGATCGCGGAAGTGTTTATGGAAAAACTTTAGAGTTGCAAAAAGAGGTAATAAGATAACTCCCTGTAAATCAAAAAAATTCTTGCAAACCTCAGGCATGTCCAAAGCAGGTTGTTGAATGGCGAGATTGAATATAGCCCGAGCACGATCAAGGTCGCCCAAAAGAGTTTCCAGTTCAGCAAATTTTATCCATGTACTGCTATTTTCTGGCATATACTCCAAAAACTTTCCATACAAAACTCTACATCGGTCAAATTCCCTAAGTTGCAATTCCAAATCAATATACGACCTAAATAGTTTTTCTTTCGGACATAATCCAATAGCATGACCCTGAAATAATAACAAATTTAGGCAGGGTCAAACTGCTCCCACAGAACAAACAAAGAAAGTTAAAAACAAAACACTGTTAGCTAGTTCAACACAATTCACCATGATTTTTCGAGCGCTTTGAAGCTCGAGTTGTCTTATTTCAAAATGAGCAAACATGATCCATATTTTAGCAAATGTGAATGTTTTATGTGGAATGATCTGTAAGCAAGTCTTGTAAATTTCTCTAGTTTTCTCAACATCGTTCATTTCTAGTTCTTCATAAAGGAAGTAATTGATCCATAAATAAATATACCGCCTCCAGTACCTAAATAAATACAGTGGAGATAGAAGAAATACCACCAAAATAAAACAAATATTAGAATCATCTAAAGCTAAACAGTAAGACAACTGGCAGCAACATATCCTTTGAAAGAACAAAGGTGTTATATCGCGAAGAAAAAGGTGTAATGTGGACCTCTTGTCTGGTTGAAGAGGGACGTTAGCAATTGCTCTTTCAAAAGTATCTTCCATTTCCTCCCTATCAATCCTTTCGTTTTGCAACAAACGAATAAAATCGAACCATGCATCGTAATTATAAGAATTTTCAGCAATTTGCTAAACTAATAAGGATATGAGTAATAAGAAGCCGAAAATTATTTTTCGGGACCTCATGTTTTTTTAAGAGCGAGCCCAGAAAAGCAAAAAATAGTAATCAAAACAGTAATAATACCAAAAAAATTTGCCGACCCCAACAGAAATAAATTTTTACGCCACGCTTACATTTTAAAAGCATACCTTTTCATACTGGTGCCGCCTTTTACTGACAATCACGTTTTCAATACCTGCTCGCTCACCATATTTCTTTTCATGTATGGTATAGAATTTGAAAATTTCGACAGTCCTGTCAGATGGGAGATGATCAAGACCATATCTAAAAAACTTTCTTATAGAATAGACCCCTGATTTTAGCGTTCTAAAGGATATTACCACTCATTATTGAACAAAAAAAATGAAACCAGTTCCTTGACAAAAACAGTTAAACAGAACTCAACCGATATATAACTCTGGCTCTTTCATGTTCTTTCTGTCTTTCTTCAAATTGGGCAAAAGCAATTAAAAGTGTTTCGCTCAAATTTTCTTCACCAAAATATTCCAGTCCACGTTCATAAACCTGAAAAAAACCAAATAGTGGCATACAAATGAAATTCTCTAAGTTGAAATGACGACGGTAAAAATCAGGAAAGTCAAAAAGACTAGTGAGAAACAGCGAAACCAATTACACTTCGAGCATTAGGAATAGAACCCGATCGTTCTTCAAACTTTGCATAGCGAATCCATAACTTTACATCATGACCATGGATATGCAAAAATCGCTGCCATATCGCTCTTGCACGATTTATTTCCTTGTACCGTAGTTCAAAATTGATATACGTCTGCCACGCCTGTTCTGGAGGTTCCCACTCCATCCATCTTTCGAAGACCTAGATTTTTACTAAGAAAAGTGGTGATTGCGTTGATCCCGTCTACTACCTTGTACCCTCATTTTTTTAAGATAAATACAGCTAAAAGTCCGTATTATTTTCATTACCGATAATAAATGAACAAATAAATAAAAAATATAAACATAAATATAAACAAATAAATAAATAAACATATATGCATATATATAACGAAAAATAAGATGTTTAATATTTCACCGATTTACCAAAAGTCGATACTAATTCAAAAAGTGCAGAATTATGTGCTCCAAAACAGCTTCGACCATGGAGGAACAAACAAAAACGTTAGATATTTAAGATAAAAACTGAGTCGTAAAAACCACTCAAGGTTCAAAAATGCAAAGAGTCCTTGTTCTAAATTTAACAAAGACGACTCAGTGTATTTGCTTCTAAAATTATACATGGTTTTTGTATTGTATGCAAAAGAAAATTAGGTAAGCCTAGCAAAGTTCAGAAAAGAGAGTCAATTAAAAAGAAAAGATAAGTGTTGCCAATAGCAAAAAATAACATTTTAACAAAAGTATAAGCATAAAGTTGAAAAAACTGTACCAGAAATAAAAACTTAGTAGTACCTGTCGAGCACCTGGGATATTCCCTATAAGCTCTTCCATATATGAATACTTTAGCCAAAACTGCGTAGCTCGCGGCAAAATCTGCACTGCTCTATCCCAAATATTCCTCGCATGATTAATCTGCTTATTTCTGAAAAGGGATATCATGAAAGAACTTGAAACTCCACAGATTCCAAATACGAGTGACAACCTTCACAGTTTAAATCAAAAATTAATAACACAAACTAAAGGAAGAGAACCAAACCGATATCCTACCATAAAACCAAAATAATAAACAATGAAAGTAAAATTTGGCATTCAAAGAACAAAAAGAAAAAGGAAACAAAAATAGCCGTCACCAACCTCATTTCTAACTCGGCGTATTGCAACCACAGCGTAATTGAGCGATGATCAACATCCAAGGCACGCTCGAAAACCGAACGAGCACGCTGCATTTCACCAATGTTTTCTTCCCACTTAGCATACTTTACCCAGTTCGCAATCTGATTCCTATTCTTCCGAATATTGTCTTCAAACTCCTTCCTAGATACAAATACCAAAATAACAATGGCATACAAGAAAATAAAGCTATTATTTCTATTTTTCCAGAAATCGCGGCATAAAACTATTATTCAGCCAAACAACTATAACGCAGAAATAAAACCTTCTTTTGCGTTGATACTCTGCTAATTCTTCTGGATCCGAAATTTTAGTTTTTGGCGGAGGAGCCACAATTTCAAGCTCGCGCTCTTTAGCCTCTCGTAAAAGCTGTTCAGCAGTAATTTGAAGCGCTGCAGGAGCCTAAACTGAAGCAGTAATGAAAGTTAACACAGTAACGATGACATATCACTCACTCTGTAAAAATCCTTACTTTGTTCTTGACTTTGGCTGCTTTCTTTGGAAGCCTTAAAGGCTTATTTCCGGGCATTTCATCCCCTTCATCCATGGTGCTCTCGATCACCTAGAAAAAAGTGGAACAAATGGAACGCAGCAAAGGAACTAACCAAGCCAATAAAAACAATATAACGAGGTATTAAGTGCCAGCTTTCAAAACAAAGTCTAATATTAAAACTGAATACAAATTCAAAAACCGGCAAATTAAAGAAATCCCCATCAGCACTTATAACTGTAATCTAAAAACGAGGATAAAGTGCTTGGCAAATTAGTTAAAAAATAACGACCACTATTCAGCCATAAATAACTCTAGAAAAGGTAGGAGAAGGTAACTGTCAAATCCGGGAACCCTTCAGTAGATAAAATCAAGGCATTTGTAAACAGCATGAAAAAATTTTTTTCATTTCTCAAAAACATTTTTAACAATAATAAATAACAGTAATAAGCGACCAAACCTAAGTGACTGGCCTTAAAGAAAGCTTATAAAATAGACTAATCAAGGAATACCACTCTTCTCAAGAAAAAAAGCGATACATAAACAATACTATGAAGAATAAGTTCCAACTAACTATTTGATGCAGCTTTCCAAAAGTCACTCCTAATCGGCAACCATGAAGTAACAAAAATTTATGCTTTATGCCAGTTCCATCCTAGTGCTGTAAAACCAGGTTTAAAACAAAGATCCGTACAAGTAGAATGTTCGGCCCAAGAAATTCACAAGTAATTCAAAAAAATAATACCGAATTAAAATTATAAAGAAAAATATATAAAAGGGCAAGATAAAAAATAGAGATCTTTGGTACCAAAGTTTTAAGTTTCATATTATTCAGCAATCGTATTTAAAACTATCACCCACGTATCATTTTCAACGATCAAACATTTTAAATATAATATCATCAACATAAGGGTCATCAGTGCTCACCCAAAAACCACAAAAGTTTGCATATTCACAAATTTATAATAGACGCCCTTCCGTACAACACCCGTAACTTCCTACCAAATTTTCATGTTTCTAACGTCCACCTGTATGGTTTTCGCGCTAAGAACGTTTAAGATACTGGCAGCATGCCAAGCTGTCTTCAATTTTCTTGCTACCTCTGGCCTTGGAAGTTGAACTGATGCCAGATGCAGAATAATAAACCGTTTCATTTCCAAACTGCTGTTTAAGATGCCGCTACTAGGAAATGCGTGTCTGTTGGAACAGTCTAATTGTTTCAACATGGGGCTTGACATGGATATGGTTCTAAAACAGTTTTCATGTTTTCAGGATGCCTCTTACAGCTTGACTAGAAAGCTCTAAGAACAAGCTACTCA